TCTGTCGGTTCACGATCCTTTTTTGAATACAGCTAAGAGAGAATGGGCAAAATCCGTCGCAACCTCAACCCTATTTCCGATCTCTGTAAAGCAGAAGGATTGGGATTTATTGTGAAAAACTCCGTTGATTACCTTATTTCAAGTCTCTCACCATTGGCTAGATCCACATATTGAACTTATCAAAGATCGGGGATATAAATTTTTAGATGTTATTCCATCTACCAATCTCAAACTCGAATTGGACAACTATGAGCTCAGTTATGCTCTATATATCAGGCTCAACATTCCCTTTTCATTACCTTATAAATGCAGCAAATGTCATACGGATGATAACAATGTGGCACTGCATCCTTTACATTGCAATCATAATCCCGGTTGGCAAACTCGACACTTGAATGCAATCAAATCATGTCTCTTGCACTTAGGTCAGCTGGTTTTCCTACCTCAATGGAGCCTTCTGGCTTATTTTCCAATAGTAGGCGTCCCGATGGGGTCACTCGTATCCCATGGTCTCAAGGAAAGTTTATAATATGGGATTTCTTTTGTCTGGACACTAACTCCCCCTCTAATTTTAACAACTCTGAACAGAGCTCAAAATTTTAAGATCGGCAAATACAGCGCTGATTTCTCAAATTATATATTCATACCCATAATTTGCTCCACTTTAACTACATATGGTGATTTGGCTAAAAACTTTTTTAAAAAAGTTGGCCGCCTAATCAGAAAAAATTGTGGAGAGCCTCGCGAAGGTTTTTAATTAAGGCAGAGGATCGCAATAGCCATTCTTAAGGCTAATTATGTTTGTTTTATTAATTCGATCTCTCCTGATGATTAGGTGAAGGAGATTTTAAATAATTTTGCTGCTTTCGCTTTTAATTATTTTGTATTTTACATTATTTTATGATTTATGCCTCAATATTGTCCTTTAGTTGTTTTTTTTGTCGTAATCGTTTACTAATATATTAATATAGTCCTTAATATAATATATTTTTCCCCATTAGTTTTGAAATACAGCTAAAATTATTTATAAATATTAAATAACAATAAAAGAGAATAGAAAATAATATTAAAACTAAATATTTAAATTTGAAAAAAACGCATATAGAGGAAATAAAGAGATGATTTACTAAATATTTAAGACTAAAGAAATTATTTTTTACAAAATATAACTTGAAGAAAAATTATTATATTGAGACGCTTTTTAAATTAAAAAACAAAGGTGTTAACTTTAAAAAAAAGAGAGGGAAGTGTGGATAATATTCTATTTGCATATTTTAACCTCGTGGAAATCATTATTAATATTAATATAAATAAAAATCGATATACATACATAAAAATTATATAAAACGCGAAACGAAAATACATATAACGCGTAACTTATCCTATATCAATTATTCTTATTCAAATTCATTCTATTATTCTAATTCTATTCTATACTCGATAAATTCCTTTTATTATGAGCCAAATCTATGGCATACGATGACATGTACGAAGATCTACATACCAAAGAAGGGCAAAATAAAATATACAGATTAGCCAAACAGCTAGAAAAGAATTCTAGGGATATAAACGGAGCTCCGAAAGTAATCAAAAATAAAGATGGGAAATTGATAATAAAGGAAAAAGAAAAAATGAGTAGATGGAGAGAATATTTTCAGGAGCTTCTCAACTTTAATCCGCACATACTACATCTCGAACACTCCCCTTGTCAAAACCTTGTACAACCTATAACACAACAAGAAATAATCACATGCCTCAAGCATATGAAAAACAACAAAGCTAGGGGTCCAGACGATATTCCAATAGAAAGCCTTAAAGGATTAGGAGATGATGGAATACATCTCCTCACAAATCTATACAATAAGATACTTGGAAATGAAGAGGTTCCCCAAAAATGGAGGCAGAGCTATCTAGTTCCTATCTTCAAAAATAAAGGGGATCCACATAATTGTCAAAATTACAGGGGCATAAAACTAATGTCACACTGTCTAAAACTATACGAAAAAATAATAGAAAAAAGATTAAGAGATATAATCGAAATAGGAGAGACTCAGTTTGGCTTTATGCCTGGAAGATCAACAACCGATGCTATCCACGCAATTAGGCAAATGAGTGAAAAATACAGGGAAAAGAACAAAAAGCTACACATGGTCTTTCTCGATCTAGAAAAGGCCTTTGATAGAATCCCAAGAAAACTTATCTGGTGGGCGCTACGCCACAAAAATGTTCCCGAAAAATAAATAAGAATAATACAGGATATGTATATGGGCCATACAACAATGGTCCGTAGCACAACAGGTACTTCAGCAGGCTTCACAATAACCGAAGGAGTTCATCAAGGATCGGCTCTCAGCCCACTTCTCTTCATTACAGTAATAGATATATTAGCACAGTCTATACCTCAAACAGTCCCGTAAAATATGATATTTGCAGATGATATTGTGATACTTGCCGAATCTAAGGATGAAATGAAAGAAAGACTAATGAGTTGGATAAATATCCTAGAAACGCACGGATTAAAAGTAAATAGAGAAAAGACGGAGTATATGGTGATAGGAGGAGATGAAACCAAGAGAATTGATATTAATGAATGGCAGATATCGGCAATTGAAAGCTGCAAATATTTGGGCTCCACTATACAAACAAACGGCACAATAGAAAAAGAGATAGAGTAAGATTAATCAAGGGTGGCTAAAGTGGAGATCTTTATCTGGAGTGCTATTTGATAAAAGAATCCCACACAAATTAAAGGGAAAAATCTGCAGTTCCATAATACAACCAACTATTCTATATAGTTCGGAAACATGGCCAACCAAAGAATCAGACGAGAGAAGTCTACAAACCATGGAGATGAGAATGCTGAGGATGATTGCTGGGGTAACAAGAAAGGATAAAGTGCGCAGTACAAGAATACTAAGTAGTTTAAAGGTAGTGCCCATCTAAGTTAATGTTAAACAGACTTAGGTGGTATGGGCACACAATGAGAAGGCCTATTATGAACTACATAGGAAATAAAGTTAAGAGTTTGGAAGTGATGGGCAAACGTAAAAGAGGAAGGCCAAAACTTCAATGGGGCCATAAAGTTAGAGCCAATATAAAGAAGTATAAATTAGATAAAAGAGATTGTATTAATAACATAAAGTGGAGAGAGATGTTGAAGGAGCTTACCACCAGAAAAAGTGAAAGCTAAAGAGAAAAAAATAAATAAAAAATTCTTATTCCATTCAATAATTCTTATTCAATTTAATAGTCGACAAATTCATTCTATTATTCCAATTCTATTCTATTATTCTTATTCCATTCAATATTCGACATTCAATAAATTATTCCCATTACTAAACGACGAGTTAATGATAACGATTTGAACAGACGGAATCGAGGATAAAAGAGACAGGAGAACGTTCGAAAGCAACAAACGACGTGGAAACATGTACTACGAGGGACATTTGAAAGTTGAAGATAGAGGAGAATGCAAATATAATTGAACAGATTTCATTATTTAACATTATATTAACTTAAATTTTTACGGATTATTTCTTTCACTTAACATAATATTAATCTAATAGTTTCATTGATTGTTATATTAAATATTGAAATTTAAAAAAGTATATATAGACATAAATTTATTAGATTTAGAAAGTTGTATTTTAAAATAAAAAAAAAAAATTGTTTTATATCTCGTTGTCTTATACTATAAATTCCAACTTATTAGCAAAAATAAAATGGATACATTATTAAATATATATTTTTTTATCTTTTCAAAAATTATTGTCTTAAAAATAAAATCAAATGTATAAATTCAATTTTTTGCATAGAAAATATGGATTATAATTATACTTGGTTCAAAGGGGGGTCACAAAAAATCAATATATAAATATCAGATCGGATTGGTGAAGAATATGTGGATCGGCACAGCCCTAATTTTATCTGCTTCCCCAATGCTTATTTTTTAAACGTAAAATTACAAATACATTCGCATGATTTTCTTTTTATTTATTAAAAAATAATCGCTCATGTATATTTTTTTAGTATAGTAAAAATAATAGTAATTTTTTTAGTAATTCTATTAACGTAATAAAAATAATATTAATCTTTTTAACTTTATAAAAATTATTTAAATTTTTTTTAACGAAGTCAGCTTAGTTTTTTTAATATAGTATAAAGATTATATTGTTTATTTAAGAATTTTGCAAGAAAAATTTCAATGGAAATGCTTCGCTTGCTTCTATGGACGCTTCGTCACTGATGAATATGCTACTCAGAATCAAATTAGTTTAAATCTGTTAAACAAATGTATATTAGATAAACTATATTTTAATTATTGTATTGTAAGTAATATTTGAACATTTTATGACAGTTTTGCCAACAAAATAAATTAGTAAAACCAGAGTTTGGAAAAAAATCTTAAAAAATTTTTTGAGCAAAAATCTTTGAGGTTCCAATCAGATATATGTTTTTACTATTCATGATAAAACGATTGAAAAAATTACGTTAATATATAGGGGAATTATATGAATCACAAACAGCTATAACTTAAAAATTAATATGTGAAAAAAATAAAATTAAATATACTTTACCTAAGATTACTATATCAAAAGATTTAGATGATAATAAATCATTCTGTATAATTATCTGCTCTTATAAAAAAATATGAATTCTCTGTCATAAAAGTATTTTTATTTGTAATTTGGTTGAACATAAATAATTATAATTGATATCCATATATTTTTTAAAAAAATGCAGTTGAGCACTCCAATTATTAAGCGACGTGAGCCGGTTAATAATATTATAACATTTTTATCTTAACTTATTAATAATTTTTAAGGTAATTAGTCAATTAAACAGAATAAATTTCCAATATTGGCTATAAAAATAATTATAAGGATAAAATATTAGGGTGTTAAGTTTGGATGAATGTGTGGATAAATGACATTAAAAAATAAGGTAAAAAGCTTTCAAGTTGATCTTTTCTTCTTAAAATCAAATAGAATTTAAATTACCAGGTGTTGGTGGAGTTGAACCTCTTGAATTGGAAGTCGACTTAAATGGATGATCCTGTTGTGAAGCACCAATATTTGAGGCGGAGTTTACCATTAGACTTATAAAATATTTTTTTTGTTTTAAACAGAGTTTTAACATTTCAAAAATGAAAATCTTCAAAGTTTTGATCTCGGAAGATTTAAAATGAATTTTTTTAAAAAAGACAATTTATTTGAGAATGCTCAAACAGGATTTTTAAACAAATTTTCTAAAATTCCAAATCTTTTATAAGTAAATATTTTGTGATCTTCAATTTTGTTGAGATTTTTGCTTAAAATTCTTTGGGAAAAAAATCTTAAAGCTCATTTTGAAGATTTTTGTTAAACCCTGATTTTAAATAACATATAAGTTTTTTTTAAAAATCCAATCATTACTCCACTCGTGTCAACAGGCATTCATGCTATTATATAAAAAATATATCTCAAAATGATTAATAGAGATGTATCGGCACAACTATTTAGTAGCCGATCTTATTTGATCTCTGAATGAAGGTCCATGAGCCTAAAAATTTAAAAAGTTTATGCCAGTTAAAAAAACATAATTAAAAACATTTCATGTTGTCTTTTTTTAAATTAAAATTTTATTCGGATAAATCAATTAGTAATAAAAAATTATGTTCCGGAATTGAGAAGAAAATAATCAAATTTTGGGGCTGTAGATTATATCTAATATTAGCAAGTGGATAATCGACAAAGTTATAGATTTCTTATTAGTTCCATCGATTAATTATTAAATATTTTTTGGTATTATATAGTGTAAAGTAATGTTTCGTTTCAAATTTCAACGTACCCTTTAAAATATTTAATACATTTTTGCTGTATTTAATATTAGATGCATTTGATATAATTTTATTTGGCGTTTTTTAAAAAAAAATTTGTTGCATTTATTGAAATGACATTTACGAATATTGTGCATCAATTAAAATTTATATATTGATTTTTAATGTATAAATTAATACAAATTAATTATATAAAGGAATTATTAAGGAAAAGATATATTTAAAAAAAGACATAAAAGGCTCTCTATAAATCAATATAGTATATTAAAAACTGTAGAAGTGATATAATATATTATAAAAATGTTTTAAAAACTATAATCAAATTTGAAGTATTTAAAAAAAAATTTTTTGAGATGAGGCTAATAAAGCTGATGTATTTAAATGAAAACAAACAAGGTAAAAATCGGAGAAAAAAATTCAAAGATTTAATATTTCTTAAAGCCCCCTTTAGAGTAAATGGATAAGTTACAATTTTTAACACTCAACAATTTTTAACGACTCGTTTTAAGCCGATTTTTAAAAACGGCCAACTCGGTTTTTTATCCAGAAAAATATTATGCAAGCCTGAAAATTTTGCTCATAGAAAGAGCAAAGTTCTAGACATATAGTATCGAAATTTCGAGGCTTAGTCAATATTTTTCTGGCGAAAATATTGAGTTAGCCGTTTTTAAAAATCGGCTCAAAATGAGCCGTTTAACAACATTAGCTAATATGCTTGCTTATTAAATGATAATACTCGCCGAAAAATATGATAAAATACCAAATAGATGAATTTTTTGTATATATCAGGTCAAATATAATTATAAAAAATTCCGAGTCGGGCCTAAAAAAATTTTTTTTTTTAAATCCAGGCCGGGTCGGGCCTCAAAATTTTTTTTAAAAAATATCCAAGCCGGGCCTACGTAAAAAATTTTTGAAAAAAAAATCCGGGCCAGGCAGATAATTTTTTAATCTGGGCCCGGGCAGGGCAGATAATTTTTTAGCCCACTTTATAAGATTATAATAAAAAAAATTGTATCTTATGTAACTAGATCAGTTTTGAACCTGGACTAAAAAGATTTTTGGTTCCTCATCGGAATAGTGGTTCTTCTTAAAATTTTGAATAGATTATGGGTTGTGGTTAGTGTTATAGGGATAAAATATTGAGTTAGCCGTTTTTAAAAATCGGCTTAAATCGAGCCGTTTAACAACATTAGTTCTGGTTCTTAAATTTGATGCGGTTTCGAGGGTTCCATGTTATCATTCCAGTTCCAATCTCTGTTAACACAATAAAATAAAAATTCAAAAATTAATAAATTCTCGAAAATAAATCACACAACATTTTTAATAATATATATATATATATATTATTTTCACAATTGGGAATTTTAGGAAGGTTCCTAGGGTTCCAAACTCTGATCTAGATACATTTTATAAGAGCGTATCTGCACATAGATTTTAGCCGGTAAAGATGAAAAGAATTCATAAATAGAGGTTATATGGATAAATATTTAATAATAAATTATGTAATAAATTGAATTTCTTTTATCGAATGACATATTTCTTTCATTGATTAACCCAAATTGATTGTAGTTTCATTACAAGATGAATAATAATTATATATATATCAAATATGTTAAGAAAACCATTAAAACTGATTAATATGTAATTTTATACAAAGACCTCACTTTTGGGAATTTTATCAATTTTAAAAATGAAGTTGGCCTCGTTCCAGGCAATTTTTTTACGTGATAGGTGAAATTAAATATTGCTTGCTAAATTTTTTTATAAAAATCGAGTGGTTTCAAAAATTAGTTATTACTTCTTTTTACTAAAAATGAATACAACTCATAAAAAGGATGCCAAACTATTTGGATTTTGCTAATATATTGGATCTGCTAATATATTGGATTTGCTAATTATTAATAAAGAATGATAGACTCAGCCTATAATAAGGAATAATAAAAATGTTATTGAAGATAAGATAAAAGAAAGTATATAATAATGAAAAAATATCAATTGAAAACTGATTATCAACAAATTTATATTGCTGTGTGCCAAGAAGATAGAAAATTTTTAAAATAATCAAATGAACCCTAAGCCTAACTTCAACAGATGATTTTATCAAACTCAAGATTTACATATTTAAAAAGCCACACTGCCACAGTAATACAACATATCAGTAATTTACTTTGACCCATAAATTATCCAAAGAGACATAAAGATTCTCCACAATACCACCCATCATATAAAAATCACCAAAATTACGCTCACACAAAATATTCCATACTTATATATATTGGACCCTCAAATATTCTAACAAATAATGTCCATTGCTTATATATATAATTGCCAAAGAAACTTACTACCCAGATTCCTTTGATTCAATCAGATAATAATGATGAAAATACTTCTTTCAATCATATAAAGTTTTAAGTTAATTTATCTACTTAATTAATATTATTATTAAAAAATAAATTTTATTTTTAAACATTCCTCAACCATCTAACCCTTAATTTGAATATACATTTATCATATAGATTTTAAGTTAATTTGAATTATATTATTTAAAAGATAAATTTTATTTTTTAACCCCTAATAATCATGAATCCTGATATAACAAAATCATATAATTTTTATTTTTAAAATAAAAGTTGAAATAGCTCATCCATATATTACATCCCCCCCCCCCTTTTAAATTTTTTTTTTCTTCTAAAATGGGTATGTCAAACATTTGTAATGCTTGCCATAGAAATATAAGCTTGACCCAGGCTACTTGTTTTTATAAACATGAGCCCAGGTATAACCATGTATAAACTCTGGTAAACCCTCTTAAAATGAAATTTTGAACAAAAAATTGAAACAACCCCCTATTTTAAATCAAAATTATTTTTTTATGATAATTTTTTAAAGTGGGAAAAGCTACCAACCTTAGTCCACCTACCTTTTAACAAGGTCTTTAATTTCTAATTTTTTAAACACTTATTATGGAAGTTAATTCAAATTTAAATTCCCTTAAAGCATGGGAAAATCTTTTAACCTTTAAAGTCTTAATTAAACATACAGATAAAAAAAACTTCTTTACATGATTTTATTAAAAATGGAATAGACCATTTTTATGCCTTAGAAATGGAAAATTATGTACCTGATGTAAGGGCTACTTCTGATTTTGCCCACAAATGTAAAATCTCAAAAAAATAGACTAAGGGAACGTATGTGAGGCTCTTACATTGGCTTCATCTAATTAAATATTGGCCCCATTTGTTGAATACATACATTCACTCTATTGAATGATCAACTTCCCACTCCTATAAAATTTAATTCAATCGAAATCAAGGAAGAACTTATTAAAAAAGTTTCTTTTAATAAAAAATCAGTAGGGGGAATTGAGAGGTTTCGCCCCTATTATTTCCAATTTTTAATAAACCCTAAAAATCCGTTTCAGAATTCATTTGTAAATTCATTAGTAATACTTGGCTAAAATATATTAAACAAAGATTTACCTAGTTAGGTTCACCAACTTTTTGGTGCAAGATTAATTGCACTATCTAAAAATGATGGGGTTCGACCGATTGCAATAATGGCTTTTTTTAGGAGACTAATAACTAAGATAATCGTTGAGCGCATCAAACCTGATCCTTTAAAAGTGTTCCAAACATATCACCTAGGCTTTGGTACTAAAGGGGGATACGAAATAGCCATCCACTCTCTTTGTATATATATCGAGGATTCTTCTCCAGACGCCGTAGTCTGAAAGCTGGATTTTAAAAATGCTTTTAATTCTTTACCCAGAAAAGTATTTTTAAACATTTTTTATAAAAATTTCCAGCTTATGCAATATTTATTAAAATCATATGGGTGCAGAACCCTGGCCAAAAAAATTTTTTGAAAAAAATATCCGGTTCGGGCTGTAAAAAATTTTAAAAAAAAATCCGGGCCGGGCATACAAATGGTACCTCTGTAGGTCTCTGCTCTAAATAAAGCTAAATCTTAAATATGATTTTTAAATTCAAGAGCCCTCGAAGTCCAGGGGTTTATTTTTAAAGAAAGTGAAATTAATCTTCTTGGTTCACTTTAAGCAGTTTGTACAACTGTGAGGTGTTCATGGAAAATATTTTTAAAGGCTTATTAGAATTTAAAAATATTTTATAAGTCACATTAAAGATTTTTTCTTTTAAAAAAATATTTACTTTTTACCAAAGATTTTACATATTTTTAGATCTACTTCCTTTTTTTAAAAAATAAAAAAATAATTAATCGTGTAAATTAATTTTTTAGAAGTATATTAGAAAATATTTTAAATATTAAATTGGAAGATTTTAACTGGGATTTCTCACAATTACCCTCGAAAATGGGTGGTTTAGATTTAATTGATATCCATTAAATCTCTTTTCGTGTTTGATGAACCACGCCATGATATCTTCTTTTATCACTCCTAAAAGATAACCTTTTAAATTCGATCTTGACAGCTTGGATATCTTTAGCTCTACCTTAAGCTGTTTACCCCCCCCCCCCCCCACAGTTTTAACACAGCAATCAATTTTCCAACTTTTAATTAAAAAAAATTTTAAATACTCTCATAAAACCCCCTTTAGAGTATATTCAACTTTTACAAAATGCTGACTGTACTAGTGGTTATGAATGGCTGGAAGCATTATCATGTTGTAAAGGTAGCCTCTTATCAGATGAACAATTAAGAATTGCCATAGGCCATTGAATTGGATGTAACGTAGTTCAACCATATAGGTGCATAAAATGTAAAATTAGTTGATTCCAAAGGGAGACATTGTCTTAATTGTATATAGTCAAGGCAGACATGCAAGGCACACAGCAACTAATTAAGTTATTGGCCGTTCTCTTACCAGGACCCGAATACCAAACATCCTGGAGCCTGCTAATTTTTCATTAAATAATGGCCTAAGACCAGATGGCTTAACTTCTGTGCCTTGGTTTTTATGTAAAACCTTAATTTGGGATTTCACATGCGTCTCTTCATTTTCAAAAAAATTTAAATTCTGACCCGGTTGATATAGCCGAAAAACAAATAAATATTCCAAATTAAAAATTATAATTTTTTTACCAATCGTTATATCTTCAATTGGACATATGTCAAGCGGAACTTTAAAATTTAAAAAAAATATAGTCAGCAAAATAGGAGCCCTTACATCAGAACCCAAAGAATATTATTTTTTAAAACAAAATATACAAATTACAATTTTAAACTACAATTATTCATATTTTTTGGGAACATGTAGTCTCACCTCTGTTTTTTTAAATATTTATCTTTTTTTAAATAATTATTTGTGTATAATTTTAAATATTTTATTTTAATAAAATAGTATTATAAAAAAATAAATCAAAAAAATTTTTTTTTTATCTTAAAGTATAATAAAATTTAAGTTTGTTTTTAAAATTGTTATTTCCGGTCATGTATTTCTTAAGATATGATTAAATGAAAGAAGGCCGATAATGGTAATAATACGCCATTTTTGTCACTTTGATCCCTATTAATATCTCCAAAAATACAAATTTTAGGAGCCTAAAATTTTGAGTATTTTTTAACCTTCCTTTGCTAACAAAATTTAAAAAAAATCGAAGGGGGTCGACCGAATAACCCTATCCTTTAACATTAGTTTCAAATTTAAAAACAAATATCGAAATAGAACTAGAACATGGCAAATTTTTATAACCTAATACTAATTTCATATCTATCTAGGGATTTCAAGCTAGATCTGACCAATTGTAAAATTATATTTTCAGATGGAATAACAAATAAATTAGAATGGAAATTTAGTTTTAGGTCAAGCTTGATTTAATTCCCATACTTATAGAGAAAAAATACATAAGTTTAAATTATCCTCGCGTAATTAAAATATTTTCTAAATTTTTCCGTAGGGGTTATTATTTACATCCTTCCTAATCTATAATTTATTGCCCTAAATTTTATTTATTTCTAATCAATTAAGTAACTGTTTCTTAGCGTTTCATATATTACACTGTGCAAATCATTTTTAAATCTGTGCGTTCTGTTTATCTCCGCAATCATTATTTTTTCTTAGCAGTTTAGTTGATTTATCTTAGCATTAAGAAATAATTTTAAGCCTTCAGTATTTTTTTCTGATTTTAATTCCTAGCGTTTAGGCTGTGTCCTTGTTCGACATATTACTACACTAAACGGCCGTACTTCGACTAAACAGCCTAAAAAGTAAGAGAGAAAAAAATGAAAAAACAACAATAAACGAAAGTGAAAAATAACAATGCCACCAAACACTTAAAACAAGCCAAAAGGGGTATCTTAGTTCAAAAGCTGTTACGCCTAGTTTAAACATAAATAATCCTCAAAAATAAGTTAAACCAGGACACATTAAGGATTGTTTTTCTTAGAGTTTCATTTCCAAATTTGGCTATAAAGGCGCATTTTAAATATTTCATTTCCAACTTTGGCTATAAAGGAGCATTTCAAATATTTCATTCAAAATCATAAAAGAATATTACTTTATAAATACCCCTCGAGATTTATAAAATAATCGTATTAATAGTTTTGAAAAGATTTATAAATTTTACCCTTCCATTTGTTTTGAATTTAACTTAATATTATTAAATTGATTTTAATAGATTAAATAAATAAAATAACGCGATAACTAATATAGATTATATAGTATCGAAAAAATAAATTTTTTAACAATTTACATTTATCATATTTTGTAGTTTTGGTTTCAAAGTTTGTCTTTTTCAAAAGATGCGTTTTTGAGGCTTTTATCAAAAAATTTGCTTTAGCTGTAATATTTATAGTAAGTCGTATTTTTGGTTGAAAAAAATTGTCTTGTGAATTATCTTCGTGAGTATCAAAATTTAATTGAATCCTGGATATCGTTGTGAAGAGTTATTTAGATGAAATTACATAAATTTTGGTGTTGAAAATGCTTGCTTATAATTAATTTTTAGAAGTCAGGCTGATCCTAAAATCAGTACACCCCCCTCTATTGATTAATATTTTAAATATATTTATAATACAATTCTTAATGAAAAAAAATACCTAGAAGAACCGTATTTAGCGTTGTTAGTTTGATGATTGAGGTTGTTAGCTTTAATCGAATGCACATTGGAAGTAGAGCCTATGTTAGTACTGAGACTAGTGTTTTGTTGAAACTGTTGCTGCTGTTGGACCCTAAGCGATTCGATTTTGACCGGGCTGGGAATAAAACCTAATTCCGAATTTTCTTTCACCAACCTCCCTATCCACCAATCATTGTTGTATTTCTGTCGTAGAGAGTAATTAAAATAATATTAATGTCATATTTACTCTTTTATTATTGAACAAATAATAAATATTGAAAATTATTTCAAAACACCACCAAGCGTAAACCAACCTATGTTTAATATGTTGAATGGCGATAAATATAAACTTCTTTTATGTGCAAGAATTCTTTGGGGTGAAATATAACGGCATATCCTTGCAAAGGACAGTCATCTTCAAAGGATGCATCGTATCCAACGTTAGTGCGAACAGCGAACGCTACTCCTTTGGTCTTGTACATATTCACGTTAATATTATATTTATTTATCGCATGATATATTTAGCATTATCTTAAAATACAATATATATTCTTAAAGATAAGTCCATCTTATCAAGCAAACCAATACCGGGAAAAATACGGAATGGATCAATAAAACTCAAAAAATTTAGCTAAAATATCGGTTCCTGGTAATTCTTCTTATTACCTTCTGTTAATCTTAAGGATATTTAGATTCGACCCCCCCCCCCTCATTCCCCGTTGATGATTTAAAATATGCAAATTTGAAAAATTAACTGTATATTTAACGTGTAATTTAAAATTAGTAATATTGGCGATGCTCTTCCCCCTACCCCATCAATTAAAGAGAATATAACTCCCTAATTTTCTTAGTAGCTATTCCAATATCTATTTTAAAGGGTAAGGTTTTATAAAAATCTGAGTAAAGTAATATTAATATCGACTATAATCAGATATAATATACTAACTTTAGCCTTTTCCAGCTGTTGAAGTGCCTGATTTTCGGATTCTCTCCTCGACAGTTCTCTATCTTCGTCTTGTGAATAATCGGTGGAAGGATGGCTGTAGTTTGATTCATATGAACTCTATAATTTAAATATAGAGTGGCTTAGTTACATACTTTTATTCACCATTATTATGATAATCACATATACCAGAGAATTGAAAAATGGTATTATTTTCAAAACTTCGGCCCGAGCTAAAATTTTTAAAAAATCTGGGCTAGACTGATTTATAAAAATTAATTATATTAATTAACTTCAAAAAATATAATATATAAATAGCATAGTTTGAAAAAAATAAGTGATTTCATTTTGAAAGATTTTTTATACATGAAAATTACTAGTGTTGTAAAGTAACTAGTTACAATTACATTTTTGCTAAAAAATAACTTTAACTAGTTATATTTTAAAAATTGTAACTAATAACTGTAACTAGTTATATTTTTGGAAATGTAACTGCTAAAAGTAACTAGTTACTTTTAAAAATATATATGTATAAATCTAAATACTATATTCCAGTAATTAATTTTAATTTTTAATATGTTAATTTTAATTTTTAATATGTTTTTTTAAAAATAATATAACTATTTATTAAAATTATTATACTATCTCTATATTCTATGTAAAAATATATAATTAAAAGAAGAGAAATAAAATAAAATAATAGGTTTGGTCGGCGGGGTTTAATGACCCATGTATAGATATACATTTGGATCGACAAATTTTGATTGATATTCTTTATCCTAGGTAGATGCCTTTTTTGGATCATCTTTGATTAAACGTAACCTTTGCCCTATTATTTTGAATAATTATAGGGCTTGGGGTCAAATGATCCACAGGTGTCTGAGACCTCCTGAACAAACAAAAGATTATTAAGGTGGTTATATTTATTTGTTTTTGCATTTTCAGCTTTGTGATAGAGTTAAAATAAAAATATCTGGGGAAACGACCTACACATGTATAATCCCAAGCGAGGGGTATACATTGGTTCCACGGGACTAGAGTCATTCCATCAGGGCTGAAGCCAAAGGGTTCCAGTGTAGAAATAATATTTGCGGATTTCAAGATTTTGATATCGAATTGATGGCATAGTGCCTGGATAATTTGCCTTAATGACAGTATGGGGGGGGGGTGTCTAAGGCTATCGATATGAGTTTCACAAGGGACACATGATATCGGCGTTACGATTTCACAAAACGAAGACCTATAGCTATTCTAAGTGCTTCGTTGGTTAATAAACAAGCCTAAATTAGAACTAGGTATAGTTTCTAACCATTCGTAGCCAGAGTGGCATATGGCTGAAGCTGGAATTATTTGATCTAGCAAAAGAGTCGTATTGTTGTCATTCTGTATATTCGGGGTTGCGTTTAAGGGGAGAAAGAGCGATGGAGATTTTCTTTGAACAGCTTTGATATGTAAGTATTCAATGCAATGCTGTATCAATGGTAAATTCCAGTCTCTTTGTCTTAAATTTGGATAAGAGCGGCTTGGAGAATCTTTGCTCCAGAGGTTTAATGTTGCCATATGATGTGGATTCGATAATATCCAAATCTCCAAGTGTGTAAGGAAATTTAACAACTGATAATAAAAAGGCTGAAATGCTTAAAGATATGGGTAAATGGAACCTATACCACTAGCTTTGGTAGAAGGGCAGCTTGCATACTGAAGAGTGAAGAGAATTCAATATTTAAAATAGATTCGAGAATATTTTTTATAATGAACCTCAAAATAATATTTCAAGGGACATGAAAATTGTTGATGAACGAAAGACATGTAAAATTTTAGAAATGAATAAAAAATATTTGAATAAATAAAAAGCCTGATGAGCAGGTAAATGTTTTAAAATATTTTTCATTCTATTGAATTTGACAAAAAATTCATCTCTGAAATGAAATATAGCACTTTCACCTCCAATGGGTGAACCTAGCTGGGTAAAGCTAGTTTTGTCCACTACAATAAAATATCCAGGTGGGCAGTCCGATTCAAGGAAAATAATTATTTATAAAATTTATTAATTTAAAAGATATGCAACAATAATATAATTTCCCGTCCAAATAGATTTTCTTTTCTTAAATTGTTCCATTGCTTTAATAAACAAACCTATTTAATATTATATTTCTTTACCTATTTAGCACAATTCCATATTTTTTGCCCTCAAGTTGCTGGTAATATTTATGGAATTACATATAAATGTATTTTTTTTTAAATTTTACTAAATTAGATCATAGAACTTAATAAGGAACGACAAAGACTTAAAGTTAAATATTTTTTGAATAAACTACTAAATTAGCAATCATTACTTACTAATAAGAAAAATTTTCAGACGCGGCCCGAATTTTTTATAAATATTTTATATTTATTGATTTTTATGGCTAGTTTATAATAGTTATTATACCTTTGTTCCAGTGATATGTTTTTATATTACCATTTATATTTTTATTTTCTTTATTCAATTAGAAGTGATGTGTTTTTTTTTCTCATTATCATGTATATCTTTTTTTCTTCCTTTGTTCACGTACCTAGCTTGTTGATTTCATCCTCAAAACTGGTTCTAGTCAGTTTTCGAGATGAGTCTGGATTATTAACATTCTTTTTTTTATTATTTTAATTTATCTATATAAAGACCAAGAAAAATGAAATTCGGGATTGTGAAATTTATATACATTTTTTTGTTTGATTAATTATTGGATGAGTTTGATTTTTTTTTTACCTTGGCTTTGTAACTTCGACTTTAATAAACTTTGAAAATATTATTTCCACTACGTTGTCCGAGTGATTCCATGACAAAATCGATAAAACCCGGCCCCCTGGATCCCGACATTGACCATCCCGGACCCCCGATAACGGACTGTATTTTTCCCAATCTGCCGGGGGGACCCATCGGTCCAAACTCAACATAACTAGTAACTAGTTATATTTCAAAGTAACCTTTAACAACAATAAAAATTACATATTTACTTATAAAAGATTGTAATATTTGGCATAAGCAAAATATAAGAATTAACGAAGATATTGAAAAAAAATTCAAGTTATAGCAGAGCCTAAAATATCGATATCTGCAAGTTTCTGACACAAACTCATTATAAATCCAAATTTTTAAAAAATTGTTAAAAAGGGTAAATTATGTTGCCTACAAGAAAATATGAGGATAACAAAGATATCTGTAAATCTATTTAGATTTAGTTAAATTTCTCGAGTGTTCTTTAAGATTAAATCATGTTATATATTTTGGTTAGAGTTTTAATAAATCGCTTTTTTTTATAAATAATTTAATATACAGATTATTTGAATTAGAACTTAAATTAGGTTAAAAAAATCAGTAACTTAAATATTTTAAGTTAAAATCTATAATCTTTGTGAAGATATTTTCATAGCACACAAAGTTTTAAAAAATCGCTTGAATTTAAGTTATAAAAAAAAAAAAATTAAAATTCTGGACCTTAATTAAGGTTCAAGAATTCTAAACTATTTAGCGGAAATTTCAATAATACGAACTTAATCGAAAATCGAATTTCTAAGAAGTCCGAAACCGCCCCGTGTCCAATGATTGCCCATAAATCGGTCTCTGTTTAGTGTGTTCTTAAAATGTCCAAGCAAACAATTTTAAATTTCTGAAGGCGAATTCGGGTCCAAAACCCTGAAAAAAAATCTTATTCATCAAAATTATGCTTTCACAAATTGTGAAAATATATTTCAATTTTAATTAATGATTTTGAATATTAATTCACAAAAACGGGTGGTGTGTGTAATGACAAATAGAACGGTTCAAAATTATAAAATAAAAAATAATTAACGATCAAACCAAATTATTTCCTAAATAAATCGATAATTTGAATTAAACACTATAAGCATTTAACCACTATACAAAAAAATATTTCTTCAAATCCATATTTATTTAATCAATAACTTGGGTGAGATAATTTTAATACAATTCAACTAGAAATTAAATTCTTTTTTTCTCTATAAGTGGACTTTATTTTAAAATAAATAAAATTGTAATAAAGATAGAGCATTTATGTGTAAATATTTTCAATTTTTAAAGAAATGAAAGAAAAAATAAATCTTAATTAGCTAGGGAATCGCGAGAAAATACAATTAATTAACATCACCTTCCATAAATTAAAAAAAAAAATCGGCCTTGCTGGAAATGTAATAAGAGCTAGAAATTATCTGTCCGCCAGACCCGGTCACAATTTATTTAAATATAAAATTTAATTTTTTTATACTAAAAAAAAATATTCTACAAATAAAAAATATTAGCTCTTGTTTCTTGCATGAATTTTAAAATATGTCTATTTATTTGACAAATTGAAATAGTATCATATTTAAAAATTTAATACCTGACCCGAAATTTTTTTAAAAATATCAGGTCCGACTCAACCCGAACTAAAGTTATTTTTAAAAAATAGACCTAGCCAGGCTCGAAACCCGTTCTGGCAGGGATTTGCAGATCTCTAATAAGAGCTTCTATATATATATATTTAAAAAATAGTGCTAAATAATTAGGTATTTTTTTAATTTTATATTCTAAAATTGTGATCAAATTACTATATAAGAATTCATGCAAAAAATAGCTGCATGATAAAGCATACACTTTTTGATCTGGTTTGACCCCTAACTAGACTTTTAATTCGTTATAATTCAGAGGATTATTAAAACAATTTATTTATAGTCCCAGTCCGAGTTTTATATTTTCAGACACGTCTGTATTTTTTTTATAAAACTTTCGTAAAAAATAACAGTGAAAACTGGGGTAAAACGATTGGTATTTTTCTTTTTTACTATAAAATTTTAGAACAAAAAATTTATATATATAGCCAGATCTCTCAGCTACAAAATAAAAAATGTGTTTTACCTATAATATTTAGGGTTAGGAGATGTGATTAATTATATGAAGTGCCATTTTTTCCCAATACCTAGGCTAAAATTTTTAAGCAATATGGTAAAAGTAGTTAAAATAAAATTGAACATAACTATTGAACAAAATTTACAATTTTGACATCTATTTATCACTTTTAAGTATAAACTAATCAATACAATACGAGGATGTAAAAGAATTTATCAAATCCATTTTAGGCGCATCG